AAACGGTAACCTGGTTGCCGAGTTCACGAAGTGAATTGGCTTGTTTTACAACGTCGTTGCCAAGCGACGAAAAACCAATCCCGATGGCAAACACCGGGGGGGGCAGCTTGTTTTACAACGTCGTTGCCAAGCGACGAAAACCCAACCCCGATGGCAAACACCGGGGGGGGCGGTGGGGGGGGCTCATTCCCTGACAGACCGTAGGTCACGTTACACAAGATACCACACCCCCCCTGGATCGAATCTGGAAGCTCGATCGCTCCACCGTATTGAAGAGTGGCAGTGCCGGAAGATGGCGACGTTGAAGTCGTCCCGTCGAGATCTTTCAGTAAACGTAATCATTCAATTTTGGAATGATCTTTGTCGTCGAGAAGTCGAGCTTGAAATTCAGTGCAGGGGGTCTTGTGTCATATACGGTACCCAAGACAAGCTCCCAGGTGTGTACACTTCATTCTGCGGTACCCCTCTGCTTGGATGCTCCCCAAGTTTCCGCCGCTTCGTCCATGTACCCGTTTTGTTTCCGCGCGCCCTGCCGTCTCAACACCACTGCCGTCACCTCACCTCCGCAAGGTCGCGAGGAACCAGTGGCTCCTTGACGAGCGGGTCGTTGGGCCTCTTGAGCCTCCTCGCCGCGTCCACCTTAGCCCCTATCCTCCGGCGGATCTCCTGGCCGGTCTGCTCTCTCCGCCCGCAACACCCGAAGCCGCCGCCGGGAGCACCGGCACCGCAGCGGAAAAAAAAACAGGCGTGTGGCGCGCCGGGCGACAGCGAAAACAAACACATGCAAGAGCGATGTCAGGAGAAGAATTAGCCTCCCGATGACTTGCCAAAGACATGATAGTAGCGCTGTGGGGTGGGGAAGCTAGACGACGACTGCGTGGCGAAACGAGTTGCGAGAAATACGCGGTGGTGTTTGACCAAAAAGTTGAACAAAGAATGCAATCGGGGAAGCTGTGTAGGGTTAGGGTTAGGGAATACCCCCCCTACTGCATTTCCCGCGAAGGCGGTCCCAAAAACTGCACTTTTGACTCCGTGTACGAACTCCCCCCCCCAATCGGCCTATACTTCGAAGTATATATCAGGACCAGGGTCACGACACCGCCGCTCGCATGTATGCAGGCCACTCTCAACCACTCTACGTGCAAGTTCACGAGGCCCAAGATGAGCCGAGGAGATGACAAGACACCTCTGCTGTATGGACGTCTCTGCATCTTTGTGCCATTCCTGAGGGCAAGTTTTCTTTCCCATGCGACACACAATAAGAAACAAAACACAGACAAGCCGACCTCCTTCGGTTTGCCACATGCGAGGGGGAGAGCGGGGGCGGGAGCTGCTATGCGAGACGGGGTAAAAAACACGATCAACACATTCGGCTCTTGCGGGGATGCTATCACAGGGACGGACAAGAGAGTTGCCTAAATATCTGACAGAAAGTAGTTGTTGTTGTCATTGTTGTTGTCGTTGTCGAAAAAAAAAACGGGCGTGTTTCCTCAGTGGTGCACCTTCTTACATCTGTACTGGTACAACTGGCGCAGAGGATGCCTTCTGTGGTCAACCATTGTGGGTATTATCCACAACGGCAAGTCCTACAAAGGTTGATCTTTCTTAGTTTCAGCAGAGTAAGGGCAGCG